AAAGAATTTTGCTATAGGTCATGTGTGCTCACCAGAAAGAGAGAGAAAGAGATACAGAAAGCAAGAAATCACCCCCCCCCCAAGGGGGATGGCCATGCCGCAATCCCTTGTCCTCCATTCTCCTCTCGGGATCTTGGGCATGCACACGCGTCCAGCATGAGTTTAAGCCACCGGGTCTGGGACTCGAACCACAGTCAACTACATGGGAGTCCAGTGACATAGCCATTATGCCAACTGCTGGTCCCCAGAATAGCTTTTAAGTAGGAGCCTCCAATGAAAGTGATCATGGTGGCGGTGACGTGATGTTGGTGGTGGTAGTGGTGGTAAGGGTGAGGATGACAGTGATGGTGTTGACGAGCGTGGTGAGGATGGTGATAGTGGTGTTAATGATGGTGGTAATGATAGCTACTGTTATATATCTCTCAAATGCCAAACATTGCGCCGTGTTTTTCATTATTTCACTTCAAGCTCATAGCAATGAGGAAAATCCTTTCATTGCCCTCCCTTTCCCATCTAGGACAATGTAGCTCAGAGAGGTTAACTGACTTTTCCCAGGTCACACGAAGTGCTGAAGCAGCGTAGGCCAGTTGTAGCCTAACTCTCCATACTGAAAACAATACAGCCTAAAATGTTACAATTTTACTTCATCCTGCCATTAAAATCTCACCAATAAAAGATTTACTTTTCATTAAGAAGCATCCTCTTTAAAATACTGGCACTCCTGAGGCCAGACAGCGCTGTGAAACACAGTGCCCTGCAAGGAACTATCACATGGGATGGTTCCTGGTTGAAATTTAGGGACCTCGGGACCAGCAGTTAGCGTAATGGCTATGTCGCTGAACTCCCATGTAGCCGACCACGGTTCAAGTCCTGGACCCAGTGGCTTAAACTCACACCGGGCTCGTGTGCATGCGTGCCCAAGATCCCGAGAGGAGAATGGAGGAGAAGGGATTATGGCGTGGCCATCCTCCCTGGGGGGGTGATTTCTTGCTTTCTGTCTGTCTCTCTCTGTCTTTCTGGCGAGTACATGCTCCCTATAGCAAAAAAACCTCTCCAAGAAAAAAAAAAAAAAGAAAGAAAGAAAAGAAAAGAAATTTAGGACCTTCCCTAGTTCTTTGGGCACATGCTTGCCCATGATCCAGGGCTTACTGAAAGTTAGGGGTATCCCGTGGCATCAAAACTCTGTTGGGGATGCAATCTCTCTTTCTCTTTCTCTCTGTCTCACAGAAGAAATATAAATAAAACATTTTTTCCCCTAAATACAAATACTTCTGAGAAGCTAATAGTCTGTCACACTTGAGTAAGAATTTATTTACTCAGCTGTCCTCTTGTAAACCTAAGAACAGCTGCTCTGGGGAAGTGGAAATTCGGATACAGATGGAAAAAGAGGTGAATCATTTGGAAGTAACTAGAATCTGAAGGGTTGAAACAGGCCTGACTAGTGAGGTACTCCAAAGGGCCCGGATGAACAGAAATGAGCTCCATGGAGAAGGGAGCACTAGGAAGAGAAAATAATAGAAAAGGAAATGATGGCGTGCCCAAGACAAAATTAGCCCATGCAGAATTACCCCACAGCGAGTTCTACATCCAGGAAAAGGGAAAGAACACTTTTATGTCTTTTCCTTTCTTTTCTGAGCAACTAAAAGACCTCAGACTCATGCAAATCTCTTTCTTATTTCCAAATGTTTGAAGACACTGTTCCCTCTGCCAGAAGCATGATTCCTCATCTCTTATCCAAAATGTTTTTCAACTGTGGCAATACATGCACATAAAGTCTGCCATCAGGACCGTCTTTAAGTGTGCATTCAGGGGTGTTGAGTACACCCGCAGTGTTGGACGATCACTCTCCAGAACACTTTCCGTCTTACAAAACGGAAACTTTACACCCATGAAGCAACAACTCCTCCTTCTCTCCCCTAGCTCCTAGCAACCACCATTCCACGTTCTGTTTTCCCCAACTATTACCCCTTTTCCTGGTTAACTCTTACTACTGCTTCAGTTTCCAATTTGGTTCTCCTGTTGGGCCCTTCAGGCAGGTTTTCCGCCCCACCCTCCACCCCCTGCCCTCCC